CAGGGGGGCGGGGGATGGATGACAGTGCAGGGATCGGCAGAGGGAGGTTGCAGACACTGAGCGGTTGGTTAGGTGAATGAGTAGCAGCAGCATTCGTGATGTGCTGCCTTGTACCAGCCGCCCGCTGATGGTATATAATGACTTCGGATCCTTCACAGATAAGGACAAGTGATACTGATCCACGTTTTCTTTGTAAAGTTCTGACCCATTCCGCAAACATTTGTAGAGAAAGTCATTCTTTCCAAAGTCCTCCGTGCTGCCGCCACAAACAGACGCTCCACATCTGGGACGGTATTGGGCGGAACCCGAGCAGCACGTTTCTGGACTGTAAACATCTAAACCAGCGCCGGAGAAATCCCCGGAGTTCCGGAGCTAATTCTGCAGCTGCTGCTGGAAACTTTTTATGACTTGTTTTTTTTTTTTAAGCTTTTTCTGTTTTTTTGCCCCAAGAGATTTTCCTTCCAAAGCTTAAAGTGACCTGCACTAAAAATTTTCAAATGATTGCAAAACCAGCAAACTGTGCCTGGAAGTGGGGAAAGGGAATCTAATTGTTGGGTGCAACACTAGAGGGATCCCCAGCAGGAGGAAGGAGGTCCTGATCCCTCTATATAGATCTTTATTATCACTAGAGGGGTCCCCAGCAGGAGGAAGGAGGTCCTGATCCCTCTATATAGATCTATCACTAGAGGGGTCCCCAGCAGGAGGAAGGAGGTCCTGATCCCTCTATATAGATCTTTAGTTATCACTAGAGGGATAAAGGGTGTGAATAAGGTTCATTAGATTTTCAGTGTGAAGCCAAGATCAAGAACTCGGGAGGAAAGTTCAAAACTAACCTTTAGAAAGTATTAATGAAAGAGTAGTTGATGCTCGGAACAGGCTTCCAGCAGAGGTAGGGAGTCACTCAAACAGTAAATGAATTTTGAAGATGCGTGGGACAAATCGTAGATTTATACTAAGGTAGGAAATGTATACAGGGACAGAGTCGCTGGACCCCTTCCGCTCCTACCCAGAAAAATCCACCTTCTGCTTTACATTCCTCCTCCAAATTAAGTCGTGTTCTGTCGCCGTGTGAGATCCTATAAGGCTCCGGCTGCCGCTCTCGGATTTGGAGTGAGATTTGGTGATGTAACCTTTGTGCTGCTCACTGTTCTCCTTGCTGGAGGGGAAGCTGTACCGGAGGACCTGCAGTGCAAGCATCTCCCTGCTTTGGCTTCATCCGTTCTGTGGGTCTGTGCTTCCTTCACCTCCTATCCTTACCCCACCAGCCATCAGACCACCAGCCATGAGGGGCGACTCTGACACCTAAGGGCTTGTTCACACCATTTTCTGACCCCTCTTCTCGCTCTCTCCCGGCCCCTCTTCTCGCTCTCTCCCGGCCCCTCTTCTCGCTCTCTCCCGGCCCCTCTTCTCGCTCTCTCCCGGCCCCTCTTCTCGCTCTCTCCCGGCCCCTCTTCTCGCTCTCTCCCGGCCCCTCTTCTCGCTCTCTCCCGGCCCCTCTTCTCGCTCTCTCCCGGCCCCTCTTCTCGCTCTCTCCCGGCCCCTCTTCTCGCTCTCTCCCGGCCCCTCTTCTCGCTCTCTCCCGGCCCCTCTTCTCGCTCTCTCCCGGCCCCTCTTCTCGCTCTCTCCCGGCCCCTCTTCTCGCTCTCTCCCGGCCCCTCTTCTCGCTCTCTCCCGGCCCCTCTTCTCGCTCTCTCCCGGCCCCTCTTCTCGCTCTCTCCCGGCCCCTCTTCTCGCTCTCTCCCGGCCCCTCTTCTCGCTCTCTCCCGG